GTTGCATTGTGGATTGATTTTAATATAATAGGAGGTAAGATGTTAATTTTTAGAAGTAAAATAGACAAACACATTTCTCGGGGTATTAGTAACGTATAGTTTTTGCCTGGGGACGCAAAAAAATAGTTTTCTTGTATTTGTTATGCTGATATTGTATTATATTGTTGTTGTATTTGTTTTTGAAATTTGAGCAGTCAAAAATAGCATATCTCTACAACAATAAGTAGAAATTCGTTAGACATAATTATTTCTTGTGTGCGCATGTCGTAGAAATAAATCATATTCCTCTAATCATGAAGAAGGATTAAACCTCTCCCACAATCTTCCCTGGCTTTTTATTACTCCTTAAGATTATTCTTAAAAAAATAGTAGTACATTTAAAAGAAAACTTTGTGGACAATTTATTGTATTCAGAACGCAAGCATTCAGATAATACTTGTAGTATATAATTCGAGACGTAAGCATAATTGCAGGTATGTTTGTGAGCAGCTAACCAACAAGACATCGTACATCCATCGTGACAAAGATTGCATCTATCGACTTTCAGGTACACTTCGGGCAGATGCAAAGGATTAGCATGCGAGAGTAGCTTCCGGGCCCTTGCTCGCCCAAACGGCACGGGGCATGTGAGAGGGGGGAGGTGATGAGAGAAACTACACTAACACTTCACTTGGTAAATGTTATTTTAGATAGATAAAGTAGTTCTATCTAGTTTAACGATTTAACAAATTCCTATTCAGTTAATTATTAAAACTCATGTGTAAAGTCGTGTCTGACCTTCAAGTCCTAGGACACTAGGTTTCCAGGCTCGTTTACGGTACGTAAGTCTACGTAACAGCATTATTACATAGCTAAAAGTTATTGGTAGTTTGGCATGATTTGAACCGCGTGATTTGAGAACGAAGTCCCGCGCTTTACCACTAGACCAACTCTTTCGCAGTGGTACAATAAATACAGATTCTATGTAATGTAAAAGAGTCGGGGGTGTATTTGTTTTTTTGGGGACTAGGGTTCTGTTTAAACTTCCGAGCTATTTTGGGGAGAAACGTAAATTAAGGTTAAATAGCACTTTTTAAATATAGAGACTGTTAGTTATCATAGTACGCTAAAATGGGATTGAATAATTTGTCATGGCACTTTTGTCAATGTCCTATTGAAAATACAATGATGCAAATACAGTTTTTGAAGTAATGGTTTACACCAAACATGAGAGAATATGCATCAAGCACTAGCCTTGAAAATATTTTTCAGAGGTACGGAGCAGAAGACTGAGATGGGCAGGGCATATTCTGAGAAAAGATGACAACTCCCTATCAAAGAACATCTTGAGGAATAACCCAGGTAGAAGACCCCTTGGAAGACCGAAACTTGGATGGTTCGACCAAGTGGAGAAAGACCTGAGGAAGCTAGGGAGAAGGAAGGAAGATGCAAGAAGCAGAGACCTATGGAGGCAGTGTGTTGGGGAGGCCAAGTACCATCTAGGGTACCAGTGGCCACAGCAGTAAGTAAGTAAGTAAGTTATTTTAGTTTTCGTTGTACCGTACGCAACCCAATTAAATTGTCACTAACATATTAAAACAACGTAGTTACGAATAAATTTCGTAAATTTCCAAAAGGTAATGTTAAATTCTGATTTGACAAACAAAGTTACCTTACTGAAAGAATTTGCATACAAGGTTTATATGTGCAATACTGTTTTATGGTGAATTTAAATTGTTGCACTAACTACATATGAGTGGAACTAAGATATAAATCGTAAAACTGGTTCTTGACAATTTTCACAGCTCACAAAATAATTGGCCCTATATGGTCTAGTAAGGACGCCTTCTGTCTTAAGTATCGTTAAAGTCTTTGGTTGAGCGTCGTTAAATAAGTAATTGACTCAAGTACTATTTGACTTTTTGGGAAGAGAAAGGGAATTGGTAAATCAATCATTCAAACTAAATGTAATATCATAATGTCAGTGATAATAAAAGTGCAATGATTTAGTTGTCTAACAAATATAAACATATAGTTTGCTCGGAATAATAATTATAATAATACACTATTTGTATATTATTTATAATGCTGTAAATTCTATACCGAGATATAAAGGCAAACACTTTTATTTTTTTAATCCGACCCCTTCAGCTATAACTAACACATTAACGAAGCTACCAATCAAAAACCAAATATAGGAATAATTGATAATAATTAATTGACCAGGAAGAGTAAAGAGAAAGAAATGTACAAAAACTGAAAATTTCAACGTTTAAACAAGAATCAGTAAATCTGTCAACAATGCATAGTTGTTGATGAAAGGATTGTCGTCAGCTGCAGAGTTCAAACTGCTGTTAATTTTACTGAGCTATAAACTTATCGAGTTGTATGCAAGACTGACTTAATCATTTAGGATTGTCAACTCAACGCATTCTTCCTTTGCAAGGTAACCATTGACTGATCTTTTAAAGTTACCGCATGCTGCCTTTGGAACTCCGTGCCTCTCTATTACCACAGAAAACGGTATAGTAGTACGTTTTCTGTGCTATTACATCCTTTACACGCTTCGAACAAGGTCCCTTCCTTTGTACGCTGATGGCTCCACTTGTGGTAGTTTGTTGACAATTTTAGAACGTGGGCCACGTAGTATTGTTTATTTTAAAGCTTGCTATATTTTTATTTATGGAAAACATACAAAAATACTTCTAATAACACTTGTATGTAAGAGTTTACAACTAATAACACGTACTAAGCTGGTTAGGAAGTTATTTTTTATTTAGCTTAGAGTTATGAAGAAAAGTATTTTTGATGAAAAGGAAAGTTTACACTATAGTAAAGTGTAGGACGATCGTGTTGAGGATAAAACATACTATTTGGAAAATAAAAACTACAGTAATCTGTAGAAAGTTACTGTCTTATACGACAGTCACTTTTATGCAAGTGATAGATTTTCTGTTGAGGATCGTAGGCCCAGTGGTGAGGGTGTTTCCAAGAGGAAGCTGATTAGGGAATTCAACCTAACCTCACTACCCCACTCAAATCATATTCTCTCCGCCACTGACATACCACTACAACTACAAGTGGATCAAGTAAGGAACTCTAGATGTCAATAATTAGGGTCAACCGGACATATTGTCCGTCTCCTACTTTTAGGACCCAGATTATACACTCATAAATGAACATTAAAAAAATAGTAAAAAAGATTGTAGCAAAATAAGTAAACAAAAATGGTGCTCGAAGTTTAGGAAATTTCCTGGTCAAATAATTTGCCTATTTTAAACTTTGAGTACATTTAATGGATTAGTAGAGCTAATATAATGTTTCTAAATCTACGACTATTTACGTTTAATAGAGAGCACATTTCAAATATAGAAATGCTTTTGAGGAATGAGGTACTCCCTTGAACTATGCCATGTGCCCTTTAATGAGGGACCCGGCGCAGCGTTAACAAAAGAAAATAGGAGAAAAATAGGAACGATTTTCTCCTATAATCCTAAAGTTTTTCTCCTATTATTCTAGGAGAAAAATAGGAACGAATAGTCTCTAATGAAATTAGACACCTACGAAATGTAGTTGCAAGTAGTTGAAATAAATATAGTCTGTCAGTCAGTATTTGACACATAGTATTTTAACTAATTCATTACGTTTCATACATTTTTAATTGCAGGTAAAAGAGTTAGGCATTGAGACTTTTGGATACCGAAACAGACTCTATGGACCAGCTATCACCAATATTTTATTTAAAAACAACCTAGTTCTGTAAGCCAACGAACACAGATTGTGGATTGTGGATTTGTGTGGTTGGCACAGATTGTGCAAATGACTAAAATTATGTTTTCCAACTTATTTTTATTACTGAGATAGTTGACATGGCATAAAAGATTCTATAACTTACAATAAGTCTACATATGAGCTTAAAGTCCGCATGCTCGACAAAAATCTGCGATTTACATTATCAGTTGGGATGAAACTTTACAACTTACTACCACATCGGCTAAAAGCTATTACAGATCAGAAAAAAATTGCTAACCAACTGAAAAACTATCTCCTCGAACAACCCTACTACAGTTTGAATGAATTCCTGGATGACCATACTTTTAACAGAAGACAATAAAAAACCAAGCAATAACCAAGAAGATAAAGAAAAAGATGACGCCTCCCCCAATCTTGATGACTGCGGAGGAGAAGAACAGCAGTAAGCAGTAAGTAGTAAGTAAGTAAGTTGGTGGCTAACTTCAACTGCGTAAATTTTTATTTTAAAACTGGCGACAACTTTAACGTGAGGATGGACTGTCTTGTGTTATCAATATAGGCCTATTTTTATTCAGAATATTTTCACTTTTTATGTGAATACAGATTTTTTGTCTTTCCGAATGCGACGCCATTCAGTTCAAGCGACCGTGATGACGATAAAAGGTTAATCTTATGTCGAAATATGAGTAGAATAATACATAATGTCGAAATAATACATTAGTTTTCACGCCAAATCTAACGTAATTTGTAAAATAATTCTATAATCGACTACCTAATACATCTATTCTTTTATATACTATGGTGCATTGTTCATTTATAACAATTGAAATTCATAATTTTAAATTGAAACACTATAAACTTACTATAATAATATTTTAAGGTACTGCATATTGTCAGAATTAATTCTCAGGTTTTTATGTATTCGTTACGTGTAGGTATACAATTTCGAAAATAATTGACTATCATTACATTAACTTGTATCAAACGAGCATAAGACTAGTGCCCTATCATTTACTACTAGCTTATTACCCGTTTGAGTATGTGTCTATAAAAATGACTTGGTAATATGTTGTGTGTTATTGTAATGCATTCTCGTGTGACAGTTTCTTTAACTTTGGCAAATATTTGGTTAATTAAATATAGTTGTGAATATTTATTTGTATCAATACACGATTATAAAAGCTATTTATCAAATAATAAAATTTTGGTCCTTCGAGCCGGATTTTTAGTTTATTATAATGCAATAACAAAGTATTGGTGTAACTCACCGTCTGCAGGACACACACGCGGTCTAGTGTTGGGAGTTGAAGGTAGAGCAGGACACTATCACTACAAGCGCCGCACACTGACTGTTGGTCTGATAGTGGTCTGCACTAGACGCTGCCCTCCCCTCCCCCAAACAAGCTGTAGACCTCAAGACGGCTTTTGACTTTTCAAAATTAGTCCATCAAATGACCCTAATTTCATTCAACAGATCGAGTATAGATGATACAGGTTATTTCGTAGTTAGCATATGTAACCACAAAAAAGATTGTCCCAAAAAACTCAAAATTTTCTTTCAAGTGCAATTCGAGTTTTAGATATTCCATAACCAAATACTTTAACTTGTGAAATTTTATTTGATTCCCTATACAAATTCAATCATAAGAAAGGTCGGCCAGTGACCCTTTAAAGTAGGTAAACGTTAATTAAAAGTTGTTAAAAGTACTTAAACGAATTAACCCTGTCAAGACCCCATTAACTGGCTCATTTCTGAAAGTTACTTTAAATCAAAGTGCGTTAATTCTAACGTGTAGAATATATAGTACATATCATTTGTACAAGAATTGTTTCGCTCATGTTAAACCAACTGTTTAACCTACTATTTAGGTTTAGATGGATGATATAAAACGAAAGGAAAACAAACTCAAACCTGGAAAAATGCAATCTTCTAAATTAGTGGTACTGTAGTAAAATGCTGTTATATCCAGGTGTGTATAATAATTATTTCTAATCATAAGTTTCCCATTGAAATAAATATACCAGCAACTCATGTCTAAGCAAGGCACCTACCTATTTTCCTTATAATTTAATAAAACAGTGTAGTTTCCGACATAATATAAGTTGAATTTGGAGCTTTCTTTGTTGTCCTCCGGGCTTCTTATCTCCTATCAACAGTTGGTTGACCAATCTTCCCTGAACGCCAAATACTTGGCACACTAATCAGTTTGTCATTTGCATTTACAATTAACATTAAAGGGAGTGCCGGAATATCTACACACCATGTTTACATCATAAACCACAAAACTTAAATTTACAAACGTTTTTCCGGTAGCCACCAATTGTCAATGAGCAATAATAAAAATTGTATCTACTTTATAGCAAAAAATAACCTTTAGAAGTAAACAACTTTACAAACTCTTACAATTCAAATTAATTTTTCCGATCTGAAAACCCCCCTGGGCCGAATTGTCAATCTAGATCTGAATTCGAATACACTTTTTTATGATCATATTCGAGCGACAGATATTATACTAAGTAAAATTTGTTTATTATAAGTATATTATCATAAGTAGACGTTTTCTACAACAAAGGCAAAGTGTTCAATGTTGAAAGTACGTGTCATGGCTACTGTCACCGTAGTTCCTTCCTTCGCCGGCTAATGACAACTTAGCTCAATCCTCAACAATGTGTTTTGGAAATCTCTTAGTTATATGGAGTCAACGACTTAATAACTGCCAGAGAGGGTTGATGCTATTTGTAAACATACGTCATATAACAAGACAATTTGAATCACCAAACTTTTAGCTTCATTCGTGCTTTACAACATGATCAAACCACAACTAGGAAAAGTTGGTCTTAAAAATACTTCGGGGAAAAGTAGTTAATTAATTACCTGTGGTTGTAAAACATGACGTAGTTTCTATGACGATAGTATCTCTAGTGAATAAGTAAACGCACAAAATATCATATCTCAAGTATCATTCTAATCTGAATCAGCTGTCCCATCCATAGAAGTGCAAATGGGTAGCATCTGAAAAGTGTAAACAAGTTTTAAAAAATTGTAGTTTTTTTTTGTTGTCAAGCCAAACAATATTTACTTCTCCATCTTCACCTCAAATTCAGCTTTTAAAGTAAAAGTACGATACTCAATCGGGAATAGGTCTACAATAGTCTTAGGAACGTAGATTATCTTTGTGCAATTGTCAGTTGATTTGGTTCATCAGTTCTATGCGAAGTGGAAAGAGAGTCAGACGCCTCATTTTTATAATGCATATACAGGGTGTCCCGTAACTCTCTGGACATATGTATATAGCGTTATTGCTTAGGTCAAGACAAACACATTTCACCATAGGAACAAGGGTCTGTGGGGCCAAGTTTTCCGTCTGTCTGCATTTATGTGTTTTTTACAAAAACGTTAATAACTCCTAAACGGTTTTAGATACAGCGTTGAGATTTTGCATAAATGTTTATCTTGCCTTTATTTAAAATTGTACAAAATATTTACCATTATAAAATGGCAGCCATTTAAAATATTTAATGCCAAATTTCACGAAAACCGTTAACTTAACGAAAAAATCGCAAAAGACAAAAAAGTTAGTAAATTTTATGTAGTTTGGATACCTTATTTGTTAAGAATGGATAACTAATAACAGACAAATGTCTACTTTTCTAAATGCGTGACCAATTTTCTCCCTTTATACAATGCTTATACCCCTTTTACGTTGTTTAGTATTGTTTAAAGGGAGAAAAGTGGTCACGCATTGAGAAAAGTAGACTTAGGAGTAATTAATGTTTTTGTAAAAAACACATAAATACAGACAGACGGAAAACTAGGCACCACAGACCCATGTTCCTATGGTGAAATGTGTTTGTCTTGACTTAAGCAATAACACCATATACATATGTCCAGAGAGTTACGGGACACCCTGTATATAAGAACCAACTTTGACCTCACCTCATACCTAATATTTGAACATGAACCGTGGCTTTACATGAGGATGAAGCTCAAATCCACATGACATGAGGTTTCGTATTGTGTATGGTTTTTTAGATGTGAGAAACAAATTATGATCTACTATTCGACACATTTTCCGATTCTGTAAGTGGGAGTTGGGAGACATGAACTCGATAAGCTTTTCAAAATCCTTCCTCCAAAATCTTCGTGCGGACTGGACGAAATCCCAAACAAAATCCTAAAGTACTGCAAGAATGAACTGATCCCTCCCTTGACAAATATTATCAATACTTCCATAATACAAGCCACAGTTCCACAAGCCATGAAACAAGCTCTGGTCTACCCCAAATTCAAGAAAGGAGATACCACCTTAACCGAAAACTATAGACCAATTTCAATATTACCGGCCCTATCCAAATATCTGGAAAAAATAATCAACTCCCAAATAATAACTTTCCTGGAAAACAACCACCTATTAAGCGACAACCAGCACGGCTTCAGAGAAAAGAAATCCATAAATACCGCTTTGGCTCAACTCTGCAACACCATAACTAATATCTGGGAGGATAAAAAAACAGCAAACGGCATATTTCTAGATCTCCAAAAAGCGTTTGACAGCCTAGACCATAACCTACTTCTCCAAAAAATATCAGCCCTAAACATCAACAACAAAGCTCTAGACTGGATAAAAAGCTACCTCCACAACAGACAACAACTCATTGAAATTGAACACCAAAGTGGCAACTTCATTACCAAATCCAGATCAAAACTGCAAACCATCACTCAAGGCATACCCCAAGGCTCAGTACTAGGACCCCTACTCTTTCTGATCTACATAGACACCTTCCCCACCCTCCTACCAGCAGACAATACATGTATAATGTTTGCCGACGACACGACCATCATAGTCCCGGGCACACCAACACCCAACCTAACAGAAAAAACAATAGACACAGAAAAAAAAATCTGCAATAGCCTAAATCTCCGAATCAACGAATCTAAAACTGTCTGCCTGAAATTCACACCAACAAACAATCCTTCAACCCAAGAAGACACAACAAATGCCAACCCCACAACCAAATTCCTCTGCATCATTCTTGACCAGCAACTAAACTGGCACCCCCACTTGGAAAGGCTCCAGCGAAGACTCTCATCAGCTATCTATGCCCTTAGAAGACTCAGGGAAATCACTAACGAAGAAACCACCAAGATGGCTTACCATGGAATCTTCGCTTCACACCTGAAATTCGGCTTAATTGCATGGGGAAGTGCCAGCGAAAGCCTATTAAAAGAAATACAAATTATTCAAAAGAAAGCAGCCAGAATCATAGACCAATCCCACTACCTTGAACACTGCAAGCCCCTTTTCATAAAACACCAAATCCTAACCCTAACCTCCCAATACATATTTGACACCATCAATTTCATAAAACAAAATCCGCCTGAAACTAGACAAACATGCCACAACTACAACACCAGATCAAAATCAAACTATAACACCCAACAAAACAGACTAAATAAAACCAACAAAACCCCCACTGCAATGGGAGCAAAACTCTACAACCTACTTCCACAATATCTCAAAACAATAAATAACACAAAAAAATTCACTGCTGCACTAAAAAACTACCTCCTTCAAAGACCATACTACACCATCAAAGAGTTCTATGAAGACCACAACTACTACATAGGGCTACTATAAGAAGAAGTGAGAAAGTAGTAAATGACGATTCTCCAGTCTCTACGACTGCGATGAAGAGGACGTATGTATGTTGTATGTATGTATGTTGAGAGAGCTATATTTTAATTAAATATTTGTAAAATTTGGAATTCAACTTACTGTAGCATTCTTTAGTTTCCAAATCGTATTATAATTTCACAGTAATATTGGCTGGGAGGTAATTGTAGGTATACAATAATGAGTCCATTTATTGGTCTACAGACACGTTCGGAGAAACAAATCTTAACTGAAAGGGATATTTTACGATTAAGTCTGAGCTTCGAATCTGGGCCCGAATACCCATTGTTACGAAAAAACCCCAACTATATCAATCAGTGGAAAGAACTAATAAAAAAATTAATTTACCATCCATAGTCCCCGTACTACCCATCTTAAATTGTACAGACTAAGCCGTAACTATTTCATAAGTCATAAGTTCTTTATTCCTAAATAACAAATAATACATTGTATTGGTCTCTAGTTTTAGCTGTTGGGGAATTTGGTTAAACAGTTTAATGCCATTATACAAAAGATGTTTTGAAAAAATGAGGTTGAATGGACAGGAATTTTCAGTTTGTGAGATGTGCGTAAGGAGTATGTACTGTAGTTTGTGCAGTTTGTATTGACTGATGTTTTTTTTACAAAGGAAAGGGTTTCAAGGATGTATAGTGAGGGAAGAGTCA